CCCTCCCCACCTCCATCCCTCCATCCCTCCCCACCTCCATCCCTCCATCCCTCCATCCCTCCCCACCTCCATCCCTCCCCACCTCCATCCCCCATCCTTCCCCACCTCCATCCCCCATCCCTCTGCACCTCCATCCCCCATCCCTCTGCACCTCCATCTCCCATCCCTCCCCACCTCCATCCCTCCATCCCTCCCCACCTCCATCCCTCCCCACCTCCATCCCCCATCCCTCCCCACCTCCATCCTTCACCAGCATCCCTGTTGAGGACAGGTGGCTGCCTGTCTTCTGCCCCCACCCCCAGGAGGCGCCTCCCAGGCCCGGCCCCTGCCTTCCCACCAGCCCCCACCGCTAGATGGCCTCCTCACTCTGCCTTCAGGCTCTGGGTCTGCAGGTTTGGGAAAAATATGTGCAGACCAGGTTGGGAGGGCCCTGAAAGTGGGGCTAGATAACTTGGTCCATCCTCCCCTGATCCCCCCATTAGTTTTTGCAATCCCCCATTTCCCTTTTCCCAGTGTGGTACCCGCTGGGCCCTACAGCTGGCACTCTGGCCTCCCCATCGAAGCCGCTGCCTACCACACTCATCCAGGGCTCACCTGGACTCCAGTCTCTGGGTTTGGGCTCTAATCTTACATCCTCTCCTCCCTGTATCCCTCACTTTGACTTCTCTTCCTGATAATACTTGTACTCATTCTCTTTCCATCCAATCATCCAGTTTCAATTTCTTTCTGATTTTGTTCCAGTTTTGGCAAATTGAATCTCCGTTGTTACGGTTCTCCTAGAGATTGCCAGCCAGGGCCCCTCTGAATCTTGGAGGGATGGGGTCCTTCAGCACTGCTCTCCTAACCCCATGTTCCTTGCTGACCCGGACCTGGGGGATGAGTCTCTGGCTTCCCGGAGGGGTCCAGGGAAGGCCCTGCTGTTCACGGCCGGAGCCCTCACTTGGGTGCACAGCAGCTGCTCCCGCTCTGCACGCATGGCCCCACAGAGCTGCAGCGGTGGCGGTGGCGGTGGCAGGAGGCACTGGTGGGGAGGCCCGCAGCTCTGGCTGTGCTGGCACGAGGGGCCAGTGGGGCGATGCCGTCCTCGCGGGCTGGTGCTTGCAGGGCAGCCATTCTCAGCAGGGCAGAGCGGAGAGAGGGCCCCGCCCCGCCAGGGGATGGGCAGGCTGCTGCACGCTGCAGCAGGCCTAGGGGTAGGACCTGGGCGTCTTCCAGGCCTCAGGCACTCTTTGAAGCAGGAGCACAGGTGGCATCGAGGCCCCTTCTATCCTGAGGACTTACGATTCCCTCCCTTACTTGGGAAGGGCCTGGTGGTCCCAAGCTGCTGCACGGCCGAGGGGCTGTGTGTGTCTCCAGGGGCCAGAGCTGGGTTCGGAGTGGCCCGGCTCGGACTCAGCCCTGCCTCTGGGAGGTGGGCGCTGCGGACGAGATGTACCTGTCCAGGGAGTGAGGACTCCGGGCTGCATCTGCCTGTGTCCTGTGTCCGCCGGGCTGGTAGAGCCCCTGGCTGGCTGTCCCCACCTCTCTGAAGGAGGGTAGCTGCGACCCTTCTTGGCAGGAAGCAGAGCGCTTACATCATCTGGGCAACTTCTGTGCAGACGTTTTCTTTTAAATAAAAAAGGGATGCAGTGCTGACATGCAGAAACAGAAGCCATTTCTCTACAGGAGCAGAGAGAGCACAGAGGCTCCCCAGGCGGCGGCTTCGGTGTTTGCCCTCCGCTGTCCAGGGAGCATCCCCGGCATCAAGACTCCCGGGTCCCAGCCGCCGGGGCACCCTTGTGGCTGCAGGTCTGCCCTCTTCCGCCCTCTCCCTCCTGGCCAGTCACCCGACCGCTCCTGAGCCCTGTTGCATGATGGCCATCAATGCTGTGGTTCCGCGTTTGCCTCGTCCAGCAGTCTCTCTACAGCGGGAAACAGCCGGAATTGGCCCTACTCCCCCGCTGTGGGCATCCCTCCTGGCCCCTTAGGTTTGTCCCTCGGACGCCTCGGCCCCTCCCCGGGGATGCACCTCTGGTTTGGGGTGACTTCCCGGGGCCTTTTGGCTATGTTGGGCACCAGCCACGTGTGGAGTTGGGGAGGCCCTGTGGGTCCCACTTGGCCAGGCAGCTTCCAGAAGGTGCATCCCCTCCCCCACCCCCCTTCTTTGCTGTCGTGCAAGAGGGCGATGCCACATCCCTCTTAAGATGCACAACCAAGAGCAAGAAACACAGAGGCATCGGGTGGAGGGGGCCAGGCAGGGGCAGAGGAGGGGGCTAGGAAGCGGGGTCAGGCGTATCAGGAGGTGGGATAGGGCGCAGAAGGGGAAACTGAGGTGCGAACACACATTTGCGCTTGACAACGTTAGCGAAAGCTGCTGGGACCTCAGCAGTTCGACAGACCCCGGACCCAACATTTGGGGGGTGCTAACAAGAACCCCTGGGAGGGTGGCCGGTGGCTTTGGCTGGGGGGGGGAGTTTCCCGGGGAGACAGATGCCACACCACAGGGCTCGGCCCTCTAGGGGCTGGGCTGGGAGGAGAAGGATGCTGTGGGTGAAGGAGGCGCCATCCCCGGGGGTCCCGTGGCCCCTCACCTGGTGGAGGAGTGCAGCACAGGGGCCTGGCTGATGGGGTTGTCCTCTTGTGTTTGCCAAGCATCTCAGCCAGAGAGTGTCACTCGGTGAGAAGGGAAATCTCACCTGTGACTTTGGGTAATCGTATTTGCTTATTCAGTGTTTATTATATGTTTTCATTGTGCTTAGATAAAATTCAGTTAATCAATGCACACAACCCATTGCACAGGTGAGGAAAACGAGGTACAGAGAGGTGAGATCTCTTGTCCGGGCACTTGCAGAAGATGTGACAGAGGGTGGCCCTGCCCTAGAGGCAGGCTCGAGGTCTCTGCCGGGCTGATGCCAGCACAGATGAGCAGCAGGTGACTGGGCCCAAGGCCCCTTAGCAGTGAGTGGTCAGCATGGACCAGACTGACCTCTGTCTTGAAGCTCCGGGTTCTGCACCCCTGAGTCCCAGGAGAGACACCCAGCAACGCTGTGTTTCCAGGCTGGCCGTGGGGCTGCCCCTGAGCTGTGGGCAGAAGCGTGGGTTTCAGGTTAGGCATATGCCCAGGGACATCATTTCTATGAATCCTTGAATTATTTATTTTTTAACATTTTTATTGGAGTATAATTGCTTTACAATGGTGTGTTAGTTTCTGCTGTATAACAAAGTGAATCAGTTATACATATACATATGTTCCCATATTTCTTCCCTCTTGCGTCTCCCTCCCTCCCACCCTCCCACCCTCCCAGTCCCACCCCTCTAGGTGGTCACAAAGCACCAAGCTGATCTCCCTGTGCTATGCGGCTGTTTCCCACTAGCTATCTATTTTACATTTGGTCGTGTATATAAGTCCAGGCCACTCTCTCACTTTTTCCCAGCTTGCCCTTCCCCCTCCCTGTGTCCTCAAGTCAATTCTCTATGTCTGCGTCTTTCCTTGAATTATTGATCTCTCAGATGACTGTGGAAAAGAACACAGTGCAGCATGAGAGAAACCTTTGAACAAGAGCAGCCCTCCTGGGCGGGCCTCTCTGTGAGATGTCTCTGTTTTAGGATTTGGGACCTTCACCAGGAGGGGACCACTGCTGCTTCAGAACGACAGAGATTTTCAGACACAGGACTTCCAAAGCCCGCCTCACCTTCAGGTCCTCTGTTATTGTTACTCAGCATTCTGTTCACCACGTGACAGCGTGTGGGTCTCCAGGGCCTTTGATCAGCCCCGTCGGGGAGGGAGCGGCATCCAGCTTGTCGGGCTGTCCGTCTGCAGGGTGGGGGGCAGAGGTGGTCCGACACACGACCCATCACTGTGGCAGGACGCTGCACCTTTCTTTCCTCTTTTTGCAGCTTTTGCTGGTTTCAGTTTTATTTTTCAAACAGATTATTGTGATACATAGATCCAGGCAGACAACACGATTCCCCACAGCTAAGTCAGCCTGGGCCTCCTGTGGCCTCAGAGCTGCCAGGGCAGGGTCCCAGCATCTCGGGCGGGATGGAGCATCTGGAAGTCTCACCGACTACCTTTTGCCTCTTGGTTTCTGAGTGTGTTTATTTTAGCACCATTCTGTGCTCTGTCCTGGTTGTCCTGATGTGGACTAATTCCCCGGGGCTGCTGGAATGAAACGCCACAGGCTGGGGCTTAAGACAACAGACATGCACCGTTGCACAGGCTGGAGGCCAGAGGCCTGAGCTCCAGGGATTGGCAGGGCCATGTTTCCCTGACGGCGCCGGGGAGGGTGTCTCCCTCGCCTTTCTCTTAGCCTCTGGTGTTGCCGCAGTCCTTGGCATCTTACAGTTTGTTGATGCATCACTCCAGCCTCTGCCTCCATGGTCCCCTACCTGGCCGTCCCCTCCCTGTGTGCCTGTGGTCTCTCTTCCTCTTAGAAAGACACCAGTCACTGGGTTGGGGCCCACCTTACACCAGTGTGGCCTCATCTTCACTAATTCCACCTGCAAAGACCCTAGTTCCCACTAAGGCCACGCTTGCAGGTACCGGCTTGGTCTTGAACAAGTTTTTTGGCCCCAGCTGAACCCACCATAGATGGATTAAACATTAGCTCTTCAGTAAGACGCCACGTTCTCTCCAGCCCCTGCAGGTAAACTCTTGGTCAGGACGAACAAAACCTGGGACCTTGTTTCCTCCTGGGTTGAAAGGAGGTGATTACGATCTGAGAGCTGTGATTCGTGTTGCTGCAACTTGTTGTCTCTTGTTTGTAGGGCAGGAGCCGCGTCACAGACGGTGCTCTACCCGAGTCGATGGTGTCCCACAAACTCCTCGTGTGCAGCACGTGTTTGCAGATCTCGCTGGAGTCCCCGGCAGCCCTGGGGGTGGGGTGGGCGAGGCGGGGGGCATCGTGCTCCTGTCACAGGTGAGGCGACAGAGGCCACAGGACTCCCTACCAAGAGCTGGCAGCTGATCTGGGCATTCCCCCCCACCCCGCCCCCATCAGAGCTGCAGCCCACGGTTCTGGGGTCTTTAATCATACACGTCTCTTTTGATTAACTTAGACGGGGCAGATTCCAGACTTATTACTCTCCTGCGTTTCTGTCTGCTGCGTGTGGGTCACCCACGCCGTCCCCGCAGGACCCATGGTCAGTCCGTGGCCCAGCCAGTGAACTTCTCCATCACTTTCGCTCTCTAGCTTGGCATCCACCTGCGGGGCCAGCTGTGGCCTCTCGCCCTCCATGGAGTCCATCGGTCTCCCCACATCTCAACCTGTGGACCCCGGACGCCAGTGTGTCACGCCCTTAGAGTCAAGCTGATGGCCTCTGTGTCACTGCTCACATGCATATTTAACTTTGAGGGTTGTTACTTGCCTTTCGTCATTGGGGTCGCTATTTGTATCCTCAACACGTTTGCTAATTTCCAGAAGAGCCTTCAGGGTGTGAGTCTTATTCATCTCTGTAAGTCCCGCAGCTTCGGCTCAGAAGATGCTCAATAAATATTTGTCAATTGACAGATGTTTCTTATTAATTAGCCAGTTAAACTGGTGACATGCTGTGAAATGCACTCTGATGGATGCTGCTTGAAAAGAAACTCAACGAAACAAAGCAAGCTAGCAATAGGAACAGAGATCTCAGGTCTCAAGTTCAGGCTCCAGGTACTTCCTTCCTGCTGGACAGGGCTCTGGGGACCTTGGTCTTCGTTGGCTGTGATCTCAGAGTTGGCCTCAGAGGGGCCGAGGGGTAGAGGTCCTTCTCCTATTCCAACACGTTGTCCTTTGAGCCCAGGGCTCTGACAGGAGCAGCCAGAGGGCTGGGGAGTGTGGCCCGAGTCCAGGCCATGTCTCTGCAGCCGGTAGGACCGAGCTGGGGCTGGACGCTCTTTGATGTCCACTATTTGTGCCTCTGAGCATAGTTCCCCCTCTGTGAAATGGGGCGAAGGCTTGGGTTGCAGGGTTCGCTCAGTAAGTGACGGTGCATGGCGCTGCCCAGCTGGCGCCCGCCCGACGTGGGCTCCGAGCTGAACACAAGCGGTTTCGCGGTTAGACCGACGGACATAGCTGCTAGATCCTTGTTTCGCGCAGTTGGGTGTCAAGTGATTCAACTGTTTCCAACAGAGTGGGCCAGCCCTGGGTCACTTCTTTAGTTTGATGAGAAGGACATTGGATCAAACTGAGTCAACTTAAATAATCTTGCTTCCTGTGGAGGCTCATTTTCCTCGCCCCGTGCGCCTCCATCGCTCTTAAAAACCACCTCCGGGCGACTTCCCTGGCGGTCCAGTGGTTAGGACTCTGCGCCTCCACTGCAGGGGGCCCGGGTTCTATCCCTGGTTGGGGCTACGACTCTGTGAGGGCCGGTGGGGGTGTCTCAGAGGGCTGTCCCGGCTAAGGGTGTGTTTTCAAAGGGGCTGTGACCCCCGCAGTGACACTCTGAGGCGGGGGCGGACCCCAGGGCGTTGCCTCCCTCTGATAGGTGAGGCAGCTGAGGTCTAGGGAGCGGGTGACGTTGCCCAGAGTCCCTTGCTCAGCCTCTGGCTTGGCCCCGTCACTTCCATTTCCCTGTGTTCAGCTCAGGTGTGGAGTGAGTTTGTGCTCGGTTGCTCTGGACTCTCTCTACTCTCCTAACCTTAAAGCTTGCGCGGCCAGAGCGTCTGGGGCCCGGGCCTTGCACCGCACTCTAAACAATTTCCTTTTCCACGTAAAGAGCCTTCTTTTGGCTTCTGCATTGACTCCTGCCCATGGGATCTGGGATGCTCCTACCAGCAGTTTATCCCCGGAGAAGGGAAACCCCTGATTGGCGTCTTCCCTTGAGAGCGCTCAACGCTGTTTGTTTCCACGGAGGGGAAGGCGGAGATGGCCCGGGGGAGGTGATGGGGTGGGGAGGGAGGGAGGGATGCCAAGAGAAACCCAAAGGCATGAGATCAAGTCAAACCCAACGCCGCTCCTCTCGGCCTTTTCAGTGTGAGGATGGCTCACCCCAAAGTACACAAACCAGCAGACTGAATCCCAGCTCTCTGTTTGAGCGGCACCTAGACAAAGCCTGCCCTCTGGGGTCCTCCCTGCGGCCCCGTCCCGCCATGGTAACCGCTGAAGCCCCCGGGCCATGGGAGCAGGCCAAGTATGTGCCTGATTGTCCTGATTCTCTTTTTTCCTCCCATCGGTGGACGGCGTCGGATGTTGTGTACGTGTGTTTGACTCCTGCCCATGGGATCTGGGATGCTCCTACCAGCAGTTTATCCCCGGAGAAGGGAAACCCCTGATTGGCGTCTTCCCTTGAGAGCGCTCAACGCTGTTTGTTTCCACGGAGGGGAAGGCGGAGATGGCCCGGGGGAGGTGATGGGGTGGGGAGGGAGGGAGGGATGCCAAGAGAAACCCAAAGGCATGAGATCAAGTCAAACCCAACGCCGCTCCTCTCGGCCTTTTCAGTGTGAGGATGGCTCACCCCAAAGTACACAAACCAGCAGACTGAATCCCAGCTCTCTGTTTGAGCGGCACCTAGACAAAGCCTGCCCTCTGGGGTCCTCCCTGCGGCCCCGTCCCGCCATGGTAACCGCTGAAGCCCCCGGGCCATGGGAGCAGGCCAAGTATGTGCCTGATTGTCCTGATTCTCTTTTTTCCTCCCATCGGTGGACGGCGTCGGATGTTGTGTACGTGTGTTCTTTCTTACCCTGATGTATTTATGCCCTAATTTTGTGGTGCTTTGTTTGGGGGAGGGCAGAGGGGGTGGGAGGCAGTGGGGCGGCCAGGGGCTCTTTTGTGTCAGATTGGTCAAGAATGTGCACCTTGGACTCTTCAAGTGCCACCGCCCGAAGGCTGGGAGAGCCGTCCCTCTGCAGGACGCAGGTCCTGATGCACTTGGAGGCACTTGTAAGATTTCGTGCCAATGTGATCGCGTTGCATTTGGCTTCTGCTATTAAGGAAGGAGGTGTAAAGGCCACAGACACCTTAGGCAACAGTTCTATACGGGAGGCAGTAAAACGTGTAATTAGGCGAACCCAATAAGGCGCGGCCACTACTTTCAACTCTTCAGTCACATATCATTTCCCAGCAGTTTACTGTGCGTTTCAGTGAGGTCTGTCTTTTTACAATTCCCTGTGAAAATAAAAGCCACGGCAGGAGCGTGATTTGCTGCGAAACACCAGTGACTCACATCTCAAGAGTGTTACGACAGGCATGGCGTAATTTCATCTGACGGAAGGGGACGGGCAAGTATGGGATCTTTCAAGGACAAGCCTGGAAAGCCCAGTGACGGCCTCAACATTCTGTGAATTTCCAGGTTACAGACCCATATCTGGAGGAATCCTCGTGTCTTAACGGTCCCTGTTCCCATTTAGTGTCAGGTAGCTCAGTCCCTTTAACAATTATGCAGTTTTGCCCAAATCTGCTGTGATAGGACAACTAATCCATCGGTCACCTTTCTTTGTGGAAATAATCAATTCTCATCAGTAATTGCTTTTGGGCAATAGTTCAATTCTGCTGTCATCGTTTGGCTCACAGCATCATAACATCATCTGGGTAGCTCTAAGGGCCATAATACATGTTCAAGGCCAGACAGTATTTATTCCTGTGCTTACCTATTAGGTTAATATGCAGTGCATGTTTCCACGTTTTATCCTCTAGCCCCACCGTGCAGAAAAGACATGTGCGTAGGAGCCCGTGTCTTCAGAATGTCAAACATCTGAGCCTCAGGAATAGATCATCTTTCTTTTCTTAGTTTTCAGAGAGAGATTTAGCGCCAGGTAGACACAACCTGGGATTAGTGAAGTGGTTTTTCTGGGGAAGGATTTATAAGGTCTTAGAATCAGCATAAGAGGAAGGATTGAGTGAAAAGAGCTGGCTTTAGGTCAGAGGTACACCAAGAGTCTTCTGCAAAGAAGATACCTGGACCCGTAGCCACATGGCTGAGTCATGCTGGAAGGAAGGAAGCCAGTGCCAGCAGGTGTGGCTGTGAGCAGTGACTTCAGGATCACGGTGCCCCCCATATGCCCCACCTCCTCTTTCGCCACACTCTCCCAGAACGGGGCCCCTCTCCCTTCCCTGGTCTAGGTAAGCCTTACTAATAAGTTTGGGCTGTTAGATCACTCACCTACGGGATTTTCTGTTGTCTAACTTGGCTTTACAATTTCTCCAGCTGGAGGTTTAAATACCTAATATGTCTTACTTACTCAAGAACACATTCCTTAAGAAGTCAAATTAAAATGAGGCCTATCTGTTTCCAACTGTCCTCTTAGGTCGTGGGTCGGGGCGGAACTCGTAAGGAATAATGGATAGTTGATGCCGTCAGAGCAGAGGGAGTTTAAACCAGGTGTGACTGCCACATACTCCTTAGGGACTTTGAAAATTGTGACCATTTTCTTTTTTCTCTCTCTCTTAAGCTAGGCTTTGTAGGAAAAAATCCCCGCGAATTTGCTCCTGGTACAAAGGTTTCTAAGATATTTGTCATGAAGAAATAAAAATCCTATTAAAATATTTATAAATCTAAACAACCCCCGAAGCCACACACACAGTTAGGCCTTTCAGCCTTCTATTCTGAAAGCCAGATAAATCATCCTTCAGAGAGCAAAGATGAGAAATCAGAACACAGAGTGCTCAGACGGCCGCCACAAAGGCAGGCACGGAATGTGGTCTAGAAAATTATCCTTGTCTCTGAGCCATGCTCAATCCACAGACATCCCAGGAAACCTTTGAGTTTCTGACTCATCAAAAAAAAGGAAAAGAAAAAAAAAAAGCTCATGTGATGTCATCTCCAGAGAGCATCATTGAAGTCTATAGGCAACTGAGGCTTATCTGACACAAGCACCTTGTTCCCGTCAAAGGCTGAAGAGTTCCAAAGCCAGGACTGGAGCACACACCTCTCACCCTCCGCTCAGAACTCTGCTTTCATGTTCGTCTTGTCCCACAGATTCAGAGTCCAGTCTGTGAGCCAGCCCTGGAGTTCGAGACCACACATGCCCTTAAATTGTGGTGCTGGTGACACTGAGGAAGGCTTGTTCACTGGTTGACCTTCTACCATGTATCCACACATCTGCTTATTCATTCCACGGACATGCACTTGACTCCTATGATGGGCTAAGACATGCTAGGATGTCCTTTGGTACAAACGCGAGAACCAACCCCCAGCCTCACAGTGTTCAATCGGGGAAGAGATGTGATGGCAGAAATCTCTAAAGGCGATGGGTTCCGTCATAGCGCCAAGGACAAGGGTTGAAACCCCGGGAGAGGAAGCCGTGGAGTTTCACTCTTTCTTCTGTGCCCCAGGGGTTAATAGCATTAATTTCTCCGCTGGGGGACCACACACCACGCAGGTGGTGTACATTTGGAGACCACGTCCACCTGTGGCCTGGCTGGGATCTCCAGTTTCTCCCAGGGAGGGTTTGTTTCCTGACCCCGAATCCTGGGTAGAGCCGTGTTTCTTTGTTGCTTCTTGGAGTGGATGGGTAGCGCTTCCCCATCTGCCTTTCAGCTTCTTCACAAGAGAAGCTCATCCACGGGTCAGCGCCAGGGCCGGCTCTCCT